GAAGCTCAAAAGTTTTTAGAAATCGAAAACTTGAAAAAAATATAAGAATAAATAAATTAAAAACAATAAGAAATTATTCTATAAAATCAAGAAATTCAAAAAATAAAAGAATTAGACGAAAAAAATCTATAAAATTAATAAAAAATCTTCCTTTAGAAAATCGAAGAACTCCAATTATAAAGTGAACAGGAAGCTAAAAACTTAGAAAATTTAAATTAAGAAATTCTTAAAAAAAAACTTATTTTATCACAAATAGAAATCGAATAAAATTAAATTTCTATAACAAAAAATTCAAAAGAATCCAAAAAAATACCAGATTTTATGAAAGTTACCAAAAATAGGTAAAGTTATGTATAAAATATAGAAAAAGATTATAAAAGAAGAGAAAGTTAAGCATCAATTAATTCAAAAGATAATACACATAGTTATTAAATAAAAAATAATTGGCAATAAGCTCTTGAATAAACAATAAATTTATCAAAAAAAGATTTATAATCTAATGCTTCTAAAATTTCTGCTAATATTTAAGTTAATTAATCTTTTAGACCTTAGGTTAAGAGTTGTTTTAGCAAATTTATTGATTAATAATCAAATAATTCTAAAAATATAAATGAAAGTTAATATTTTTCTTATCAATGAATAATATACATTTTTTTCCATATTCTTTTTATATTATTTATTTTTCAAAAAAATTAATTAGTTTTTTATTAAATAAAAAAAAAAAAAAAAAAAAAAAAACTTTTATTTAATAAATTTATTTTTAATGACTTTTTTTATTTATTTTATAATAGCTTAATTATATGTAATTATTTAGATAAATACAAAATGATTAGTTACTTATATTTATATTAGATTTTTTTCATTTATAATAATAGTTAAGCATTTAAGTTTTTATTTTATATATATCTATTATTATATAATATATAAAAGTTTACATTAATGAAAAAATTTCTTATTTAATATTATGTTTATATAAGAATTTATTTTGAAATTTAATTTTAATAGTAATAATCAGAATTATTTGCTATTTTTTAAATAGACAAAAATTATATAATCTTTTATACTCCTTTGTTCATTTAATTTGTAATTACAAATAATAGTTATTAATAAAATAAATTGAATTAAAAGCAAATTGTTCATATTTAAAATAATCAAATATTAAATTAATATATAAATACTAATGTTAAAGTGATTACAATAATCTAAAATATATATAAATAAAATAACACGATTAAGAATATTAAACTTTAATAAAAAAAAAATTAAAAGAAAAAAAAATATATATATATATAAATAAATTAATAAATAATATAAAATATATATATATATATATATCTTTATCTATTATTAAATAAATAATTATTTTTATTTATATTTATAATTATATTCTATCATTCTTCCCAATCTATTAATTAAACTATATCTTAACTATAACTTATTCTTACACAAGGAAAAAGCATATCTCCTTATTAAAACTAAATATTAATCATACAGAATTCGCCTCTATTTTTATTTTTAATCTTTAAATAATTCCTAAAAGGATTAAAATGGCATAAAATTGTATCTCCTTAATCAAATCTTACTAAGACTTTCTTCATGTCTTATTTTTAATCTTAAAAATTTCTAATAAAGCCTGCCGCAGTTAAAAGAAAACATCCATGTGTATTATTACTACTATCATGTGAAATTTATTTAAAAAATTTTCCTTATTAATTATTTTATATAGTATCTTCTCCTACGAATTTAAAATTATTTTATTGGCAAATTTTTTTAGAACATACTCCTATTGCTAAAGGACTTGAATATGATAAACTTTTACATTATACAATTTTGAACGCCCAAAATAGCTCTTTTTGAGGTTTCGTCTCCACTGAAGGGTTTATAAAGGCTATTTTGGATTCAAAATTGTCTGAATTACCTTTTACTTTTGTAAATTCGTCGTATATGAGTAGATTTTCGTTGTGTAAGTCTTTATGGAACCTAAATTTGGGTTTTGTGTTAATACTTTTGGGAAACTAATGGGATTTTTTTAAATCATCGAATATATTTTCGACATCATTTGTGTTCTATTTATCTTCAAAACTACTACTATTTACTGATATGGGTATATTTTTTTTCTAAAAAGACATTTAATGTTAAGATTGTTTCTATTATTGGACTTTTTCAGGTGAATATTAAGTATTTTTTCCTACTTAAGATGATGAATTTTGTTAAAATAAATTCGAATAATATAAAAATCTCTAAGGCGGAGATTTAAGAAGGGTCGAAGAGCTACTTTTATTTAAAATATTTTACATAAACTAAGATTATGTATACTAAGTATTATGATTTTTTTAAAGAATAGTTTATTAAACAAAAAGATTTTATTATTATTATAATTCCTATAAAATTTATTATTGAAGTTATATTTATTTCTATAAATTAATTTATCCCTATTAAAGAACTGTAAATTAATCTAATTAAGGAATCGTTTTTTCAGCTTTATTATTATTATCATTTGTATTATTATCACATATATTACTATTATTTTACATATTATTAATATTCTCATTTGTATTTTAACCATTATTATTATTATTATTATTATGACTACTATTTTCTTTATTATCCTTATTAATAATATATTTATTCAAAGATTATTTATTTATATTACATGATATAGAAACAGTTTCATAATTTTTCAAACTACAATTATCTTTTTTAGCTTACTATTTTTATTATTATAATTATTAAACAATAGGTGATAAAAAGTAATCTTTTTTCAATTAATGTGGTTATTATTTTGGATCGAACATTTTTGCATATTAAAGGCTTATAGACTAGTGTATATTTTTAAGTGTTTCTAAAAAACTTTAAACAAAAACATCCAAAGTATCAGTATTTTTCGACCCAAAGAAATCTTCGTTTATTTCCTTTATTTTATCTTCTCCTAAAACTACATTTTCTAAAATTTCTTAAATTTTAAATTCTAATTAATCTTTATCACTTTCCAATCGAAGTTTCTCCATATCATTTGTCCATATAGGTTTTCCTGAATAATGCTTTTCAGTTTCTATTTTTAAATTTTCAAAAAATTTTTATGCTTTTTCTTCCATCTTTTACATTTTTATAGTTGTATATTTTAATAAGCTTTAAAGACCATCAAAAATTAATGATTCACATTTTTTTATATCACTTTATATACTTAATTAAGATTTTTTTTCCAGTTTTTTTGTCTTATATATTAGATCGTCGAATAATATGTTCAAAGAAAATAATTAGTGTTCACGATGTTTGGTTTATTTGCATATTTTACAACATAAACATTCGTTTCTACATAAAGTGTTTAAGCATATATATTGGATATATTCTCCTTGATGGTTTCCACCTTTTTCACATGCTATTAAAGCGTATGGGTGAGTAATTTTATGCATTTTGGTATTTTATTTTTAATTTTTTTTATTATTATAACTTTTTTTTTTTAATTGTTTTTTTTTTTTTAACAACGTTTTTATTATTTATTTATTTTATTTTTTTATAACATAAATGGTAATTAAATTTTTATAATGTCTCTATTATTATATTATGTTTTTTATATTTATATAGATATTTTTATTTAATGTAAAAATAATTACATTTACTAACAACAATAAAAATTAAACTTTGGTTAATTATTAAAAATACAGCCCTTAAAAAATTTTTTTTTTAAACATATTATAATTACTATATTTCGTATTAAATAAATTAAGCTAAATTGAATATTTTATTTTAGGATATAATTTTAAAAACAATTTTTATAAAATAACAATTAAAAAAAAATATTAAAATAAAAAAAAAGGTCTTTTTTATATTTACATTTACAAAAAATAATCTTTTTTTATATTTACAATTATAAAAAATAAATTAAAGTTTAATAAATATTATAGATATATAAATTTTATATATTACAAAAACATAAAAAATGCATTATATATATATTTATTATTAACTTCATATTTTTTTTTCAAGGAAATTTAAAAAGATAAAAATAAGAAATAGTAAATGAAATTAAAATAAGAGATTATAAATATTCATTATAATCTTTTTATTTGCAATATTCTGTACATTCTCTAAAAATAAATAAATAAGGTGTATATTTTAAAAAAGATGTATATGCGTATCTAATTAATTTCTATTAATATATTTGTGATTGTATATCATTTTAATATAGGGTAACTGGGCCATAAACAGTACTCCAACACAATGAAAAAATCGTGCCGTCAAAAAACGATGTAAATAAATTACTTTTTAATCTTCTTAATTCTTTATCTTCCATTTATTTTAACAAATAATTTTTTTTTTTTTTAAAAAAAATAAAATTTAATAATAATTAAATATGTAAATAAAAAATATTATTTTAAATTTATATCTATATATAAAATATATAATTTATGTACTTTTTATAAATTGTTAACATCAAAATATAAGCAGCACTTATATTATTTTTAAATAGAATAATATATTAAATTAATTATAAATTATAGAATGTGTCATTATATTGATTTTTGCAAGCTTTTTTAATGTGATTGTCTATTAATTTTTAAATAGTATAATTAAGGTAAAAAGTTAAATATGTAAAATATAATTAATTAAAATATTTATAATTTATTATATAAATATAAATATATTTATATTTTAAATTTTTTTCTTATAATATTGATTTTTCATTTTTAATTTATTATAAAATATAATACATAACATCTTTTTTTTAAACATAAATTATTACAATAAATGAATGATTAAAAAATATTATTAACTATTAAATTTATTAGTGATTTATAAAAATATTTATATTTGTTTATTTATTTTAAAGTAATAAATATAAAATTAAATAATTTAAACAGAAAAGAAATCTCAAAGAAGTTTCTTTCTTATATTATTATTTAAATATACCATAATTAAAATAAAAAATAAAATAATACAAAGTAAATAAAAAAAAAACAATCATAAAAAAAAAGCGCACTTAATATCACTAAATAAATATGTTTAAAAAAATACTTCCAATTACCTTAGGATCATTCGGTTCTTATTTAATATATGACTATAATTCCTAAGACCGCATATTATACCGAAACCTTCGTACTTTAAAAACTGGATTTATTATATTGTACAATTATAAAATAAGATTTTCTCCCGAAAACGTAAACCAAATCCATGAAGAAACAGCTGCGGAAATATACAATTTATGTAAAAGCAATGACGGATTATATGTTAAATTTGGTCAATAAATAGCCGCTTAAGACCATATTTTACCGCCTGCATATTTCAAATATTTCAGTTCATTACAAGATTAAGCCACAAGCGTCCCATATTTAGCTGTAGAGAGAATTATAAAGAATGATTTAGGCAAAAAACCTGACGAAATATTCTCTTATTTCGAAAAAGAGCCTATAGCAAGTGCCAGTATAGCCCAAGTACACAAAGCCAGGCTCTGTTCAGGTGAAGAAGTAGCCGTAAAAGTCCAAAAGCCTAATATAAAAGGACAATTTAAAAGCGATATGTTTATGCACTGGCTCTTCTTAACTGTTCTCGAGAAGGCTTTTGACCTCCCCCTAAGTGCCTTCCACTAATCAATAGAAGAGAACCTCGGAAAGGAAATAGATTTCCGTATAGAAGCCTAAAATGCCAAAAAATGTAGTGAAAATTTTTTAAAACTAAACCGAAAAGATATTTATGTCCCGGAAATATACAAAGAATACACAACCCCAAGAATTTTAGTAATGGAATGGATAAACGGAATAAAAATAACTGAAGAAAATGAGCTTATAAAGCAAGGATTTCAACCTAAAAAGCTCGTGTAGTCTATAATTGAAGGTTTTGCGGAATAAATCTTCATTTCAGGCTTCACTCATGCAGATCCTCATCCTGGTAATATTCTAATCAGAAGAAATCCCTTAAACAAATCACAAGAATAAATAGTTTTACTAGACTACGGTTTATGTTATTAAACTCAGGATTTTTTCAGAGAACAATACTGTATGTTTTGGAAATATTTATTCCTATAAAATAACCAATAACTAAGAAATATAGTCAAATAATGGGGAATTACAGATGATGAGGCTTTTGCAAGTTCTCAATTGATGAGACCTTATTAAAAAAATAAGCCTATTTTAAAGGATATATCTAAGACTGATGTTTATAATTTATAATTAAAATTTAAAGGAGATGTAAAAAAAATGCTTGGAGATACAGAAAAATTCCCTAAAGATCTTATTTATATTAACAGAAATATGAATTTAGTTAGAAGTATTAATAAAAGATTGGGATCAAAAGTTAATAGAATTAGTATTATGGCTAAATATTCTGTTGAGGGTTTAAATAGTAAGTCTAATTCTTTTAAAGCTAGATTTAATGTCTTTTGGTTCTAGATGAGACTTTTATTATCTTAAATGATATATTAATTGGTTTAAACATGGTTTAAAATTACTACAGGTAAAGGTTTTGAGGAAATTATTGAAGAAAATATTAAATAAACTATTAATGAAAGATATTAATAGTATGGAATGATTCCTCCTGATGAAAATACATTTAATGCATGAATAAATAATTATGATAGAATTTTTTTATAATTTTACTCACTTTATTTATAAAGAAAAAAATGTTTACTGTAATATATTTATTTATAAATATAAAATAAATGTTTATTGTTTTGTTTATTAATTAATTAATTAATTTGTAATAATTGTATATTTAATAAATTTCTTCTTAAAGAGCAAAGTTTATTTGTATTATATAAATAACAATAATAAAAACTTCAAGAAAATTTTATTAAAAATTCATTATAATATTAAAATTAATTAACTCAAAAAAAAAATAAAAAAAAATAAAAATATATTATATATATATATATAAAAATATTTATATATATATTTTATATATATTTATATATATTTTTTTATATATGTTTTAAGTTTGAATAATATTAATAATCTTTATGAAAATAAATAAAATTAAATAACTTTTTATTTTAATTTGATATAAAAAATTAATATTTTTTTATTAAAAAATATTATTTTTAAACATAAAATAAAAATATACATTCTCAAAAAATAAAAAATTCTTATATTTTAAATATATTTATAAAAATACTATATAATACTAACATATATATTATTATTTTATTTTATTATCTTTTTTAAAAAAGAAATAGTAATTACAATAAAAATATTAAATAATAAACATATTTTTTATTTTTTTTTAATTATTATATAATTAGTATAATGATTATAAAAATATATTTTGTTCATATCCGATTACGTATATAATTAATTTAACGAATTTTTTTAGCTATTATTGTATATAATAATAAAAAAATTAATTAAATAATTACAATTAATAAATTGTGATAATATTAAAAAAAAATATATATTAGGATTAATTTATTTTTTTGCAATTTATTATATATTATAAATATATTTTTTCGAAATCATATATTTTTTATTTTTTGTGTTTTACAATAATTATTTACAAAAACAAATGAAATTTCTTTATTATTATAATCACTAATTACTTCATTTTATATAATTAAATTATTTCTTTTTTATTTTTTAACAATATTAGTTATTTTTTTATTTCATTTTTTCATAAAATTTCAATAAGATTTAGCCTATATTCCTTTTTTAATAAAATTTCAATAAGATTTAGCCTATATTCCTTTTTTTATAAAATTTCAATAAGATTTAGCCTATATATTCCTTTTTTGATAAAATTTCAATAAGATTTAGCCTATATATTCTTTAATTTATCATTATCAGATTATAAGGAGGAATTTGCAGACTTTCGACATAATTTGAAAAAATAAAATATTCATTATAATTTTCTGAAAAAGGTCATATTTTATAACATATTGCATCTATATCTGTTTTTTATCCTATTTTATCATTAGATAGTGTAAATAATCCTATCTAGAAAATTTTAAAAGGAAACTTTTTAAAATTAAATATCCTCTTGCCTTCAATAGAGAAATTAGCATTAATTTATAAAGACAAATAAAATTTACTAATAACCAAAAATAAAGAAATAGATTCTAAATAAATATCAATTTTTGTGAATGTAAAATTTTTACTTTAAATACATTATTTTTTGAAAAATGAAGATGATAAAAATAAAATATAATCAAGAATAAAATCTAAATAGAGTATATTAATCTAGGATATTTTAGAAAGATATGATTTTAAAAAAAACACTAAAATATTCATTAGATATAGATTATTAAAAAAAAAAAAATATTTATTTATTGGAAATATTATTAATTTTAGATTAGGTCCAAGGAATCATATAGGGAGATGTTATGCGATTGCATTTTTTAATACATATTTTTAAAAACTTAATAAATAAAATAAAAAAATAATTCAGGAAAAGATAATGAAAAATTTCAAAGTAAAAAAAAAATTATTATGTTTAGAATAAGAATTTCTAGAAATGTATTTTTAAATTTTATTTATTTTAAATAAAAATTGTATATTAAAAAAAAAATTAATTTATATATAAAAATTTATTTATATAATAATTAATATATATATTTTAATATATATATAATAAATTATTCCTTTATTAATTTTTTTATATATTCATATATATATATGCGTTTTTTTATTAATGTATAATTAATATATAACGAATAATTAAAAATAAATATAAATATAAAAATAAATATATATTTATATATATAATTTTATTTTTTTTAAATAAATATATATTATTAGTGTTTTATCTTCTATTATTAATTAATTTTAAATTTAAATTTTAAAATTAAATAAAATACAAAATATATATATAATTATATATATATATATATATATATATATTTATATATATATATATATATATTTATATTTATTTATTTTTAACTGATGTTAAAAATAACATTATTTTTTATTTTATAATTATAAATTTTACGTTCTATTAAATTATTAAATCTATAGAAAAATTAATATATTTAAATTTATATATCATATTAATAATGATATAAAATTAAAAGCAAAAAACTAGTTTTAAATTTATAATGCGATCTACTATTATTTATATGTAATTTGAATATAAAAATTAATAAATATATTTTAATCAATAATACCCCAATAAATAAAAAATTGAATAATAAAAAGAATAATAAATGGATTTTATGAATAATTTATTATATATTTAATTATTATTTATATTATTTTTAATTAAATATATAACTTTGAATTACATATCCTTTTATATTATATCCTTTTGTAAATTTTAAAAGATAAAATATATAAATAATATAATATTATAATAATATAAAATATATATTATATTAACACACATAATTATATATTAGCTTTGTATTTTTTTAATTCAGTTTTAATTTAATTAATAAGAGTTTTTTTAGGAGATAATTTCTTTAAGTTTTTATATTAAAATTCCATTTTATTAATTAACTGAATTAATTTATTATTTATTATTTTATAATATAAAAACTATTCTTTATTTTAATTTATTTAAATTATTTTCAATATAATTATTTTATTTAGAATTTTTTTTTTCTAAAGTTTTATTTGTACTATTCGTTTATCCAAAATTAAATTGTTTTGTATATAAAAAATTACTGCTTAAAAAATCATTTTACTTTTCCATATTTAAAGGCGAAGTTATTTTTAATATTTCATCAAGTGAATACTTTTTATTATTTCCTTTAAATTTAATATGATTTTTCTAAAATAAACTTTAATTACTACTACTACTATATGTTGTAAATGCTAAAGAATTATTTTTTTATTATTCTTAATTTTCTTTTAAAAACTCAGTTAATAAATTATATTAATTTTATAATTTTTCTTTATATTAAGAAATCTATTTAAAATCCATGTTTTATGTAATTATTTAAAATGTTATTTATTATCTATTTGTTATTCCATAACTATTATTTATTGCTTCCACTTTTTATGTTAATCTATTTATTGAACTTTGTTAATAACTTTCTTATGTTTATAAATGCTTATTTAATTATTTTAATTTAAAAAATTAATTAAATTTATAATGTGTTTTAGCTGATTATTTGTTTTTTATTATTTATTAAGATTATTCCTAATAAGTATTTTAAAATGAAGATTTTTCCTATTTTTATTTACATGTTGCTTAAATCGTTTCTTTTTAAAATGTTTTATTGCTTATAATATTATAACCATTTTTATTTTTAGGCGAAGATATCATTAATTCTTATTAATTTGTATGAAACATTGATTTATTATATTTTTTTCTTTATTTTATATCCTATATTAATAATTAATTCATTTATTTATTTTATTTTATTAATATAAAAATACTGTTTAAATAATATTTTTGTAAAAATATAAAAATATTATTAAAATTATAATTTAATTTAATAAGGTTTCATTTTTTTATAAATTTTTGTTTTATTAATTTTTTTTGTTTTTTTTTTTTTAAAAATAAAGAAATATTTATAAATAAAGATTAAAAAAAAAATACAATTAATTTAAATTATATTTATATTTTTTTAAAAAAAAATAATCACTTAAAATATCAATATTTGAATTTATAATATTAAATAAACAATCAGAAATATTCCTTTAAAATTTATTAAACTTATTAAATAAAATAAATATTTCCTTTTTTTATAATTTTCTATTTAAAAAGTCTATTATTTATAATTTAACTTTCTGTTTTTTGTATTTATAATTATATACATAGGTTAATATTTATGTATTTTAATAAAAAAAGCAATTATTCTGTTATATTTTTTATGTAAAACTCTTTTAAATAACTAAGTATTACACTTTTTCATGGTTAAATTATCTTTTTTTGATTTTTTTGTTTTGTTTTAAATAAGCAACTGATTTTATAATTTGATTTTTATATTTTCCGCGGACCGCATTTAATTTTCTTTTTATTTTCAAACATTCTAAGAAATAATCTTAATTTTTATATTTAGTTTATATATTTCTTTTTTATTTTGTATAAACAAAATCACTAAAAAACTTCATCATTTAAAAATAAAAATAACATATAAAATATTTATTATTTTAATATTATGAACAAGACATATCAGTTATTTAATATATAAATAAAACTTTATATTTAAGTATTTAAATTTATTTATTATTATTGAATATTTATTATAATTTTTTTGTCATATATTATTATTTAAAGTGCCTTTATTTTTTATTTATTTTGGACTATTATTATTTTCTTACTATAATTATTTTTAAATGGAAATAAAAATATTTTATTTTTCGAACTAATTCTTTAATATTTTATTCATAATTTTTTTTCTTTATTACAAATACTTTATTTATCCTATATTTATAATTTATTCGTACTTAGAATTCTAAATTTCCTATTACTTTCTTTAGTTATAAAATATATTTTTTTAAAACAAAATTGAATTCTTTAAATTTTTTGGTTAAAAAAATTATCTTATTATTCATCAATTCTATTTAACATTGATATTATTTTGTATTTTATTTTTTATATATGGCTTTAGTAAGAAAATAATAATATTTCTCCTTGTGATATCTTTATGTAAATTGTTCTATTTTTAAATATTAATTCTACT